AGAATTTAATTTTGTAAAAATTCGCTTGAGGATGAAATGGAACTAATGCCTTTAATTTAATTACAAAATTAAATTCTGAGCTTTTAGCTTCCATTTTTGAAACATGGTTAGAACTGTGTAGCAGAAAAACATATTTTAAATCAATTAATTTATAATATTAATGCTCTGTAAATTTACATTGAGCTCTATTTTGTAAAAATAAAAATATCTATAAGAACATCGGATTATATAATTTAGCAATTTAGTCGTATAATCCAATCAAAGTATTATATATCATGGAATATATAAAATTGGTGTTTACAGATCTATTAATAGATTAATCTTTGAAGCTGTATATATATATATATATATATATATATATATATATATATATATATATTATGAAATGGACAAAGTCCGGCAATTAATTTTAAGACATTTTTATGTACATACGTTCTTTATATAGATGTCTTAAAATAATTTTAAATGTCTCAAAATAATTGTCGGACTTTGTCCATTTCATAATGTGTGACGTCATTTGTTTACATTTGGATACGCATTGAGCAGATATGAATGTACGTGAGAGATTCATGGAAGATTGAAGTTTAAAAGCAGTAAAATCGATCTTGCTAATCGAACGATCCTCCGTAGCTCGATCGGTTAAGGCACGTCGGGCTAAATGACGGTTCCGTATAGGATACAAGTTCGATTTGTGTCGGAGGACGAATATTTTCTATGAAGATTTCTCAGACATTCAGGCCGGTAAATGTTGTTATACTGTTTATTATAAATCAAACCATTTACCTAAATATTTGTATCTATAAAAAAGTATGTATAAACATAAAAATATCTTAAAATATATATATATATATATATATATATATATATATATATGTGTGTGTGTGTTGATTAGATTATAAAGTAAAATTATTCTCAAGCATTTACCGCCTGATGAGCCAAACTGGTGAAACTCTAGTAGTAAGTCTTATCTTTCTCTGTTCTTTATTGGTCACCTTTTTTGTTAGGATACGAAACTGAACGAGGAATGGGGAAGAAGAAGATATATGTTCAAAAGCGCTATTCGGGTTTTTGCTTGGCCAGCAGACTTTTAATGACGCTTTCCCCGAGAGAAACGCAAGTTAAAATCCTTCCGGGTGCCATATAATTTTCTAAAAAGATTTCTCAAATATTCACGGAGGTAGATGGAAATAAATAAAAACAAACCATCTTCTCAAATATGGATGTCCATTAAAAATAACGTTTAAGCAATAGATTAAAATATGTCGCATTAATCTGAAATTTGCGACTTAGCTGACTGAACTTATATTCAGCACCCCAACCCTAGAATTTCATATATATATATATATATATATATATATATATATATATATATTGGATGTAAAAAAAATTATCCAAATCGTGTAACAGCAAAATTGTACAATTGTTACATTAAGATTTGAATTGTATCTTAGAAATGATTAAAGATATCTTACTGGAATTCTCCGAGGTTTTTATAATACAATTGTACTCTACTTTGAGCAATATGAATGTATAAATACTCTCCAAGCTTAACGGAAGTATCGTGATGAAATCAATCCTAAAGCAAATTGTTCATCACTAAGTTCTCATAACTAATGATCGGAAGCTCATTAAAGATTGAAATAAGGCTCAACATTATATATATATATATATATATATTCCAGGATAATTTTCTAACTTATTCAAGATGATTCTCGCCCACTCTAATCTAAGTTTCTGTCCTAGAGTAACAAGTTTCCTTACAAGTTTCTCGTACGATTTCATTTTTTCTTTTTTCACTGCTCTTAAGGGTGAAATTCTTTTCACACGTACCAAATGTTTTATGAATTGAGTTGGATCTTTTTTAATTGTTTTCTTTAGCTCTAAATTGAAATCATGATCCCTTTTCTTGTGACCTCCTGATCAATTTTTCCTCTATATTGTTAGAACTTATAAAAACTTAACCGTTCTCTTGATGGTTCTTGAATAGATTTGAAGTTGGTAGCCATTGTATGACTGTTGGTACTATCAGTGAAGACCTGAATGATCTTTATCCTCCCACTATTCCTCAGTTGGGATGAGATTGGGGCTGAAACAAAACGATTTTAACTTGTTCTCTTTCTAGCTGAATAACTCAAAGTGTTTTTCAATGATTCTTACAACAGATGTTATCAAGATGACTAACAGTGTTATCTGAAAACATGAAAAAAGAAACTCAGTTTAGTGTCTTTGTTAGATATCAAACATTTATGCTGTATGATTTGGACAATTTTGCTGTTACACCAGGTATATATATATATATATATATATATATATATATATATATATATATATATATATAAAAGAAAGAGCGATAGAGAAAGGAGGATGACACTGAAATTTCATCGCTGCCCAATCAGAACATAGAATCTGAACAATTTACCACCTATATGAATTCCTGGGAAATTCTCCTTCGCCGCCGAACATTTCATCACCCATATCCTAAAACACACACACGCACGCGCGCATATATATATTTTTTTTTCTGTAGTTTACTGCTACCAGCAAAGCAGAAATGTTTCTTCTCCCGATGATGGCCATTTTGACCGAAACTAGTCGAGGAATCTAAATGAAATAATAATAAAAAAACACCGAAAGAATTTAATCTACAACGCAGAGTGTCTGAAGATTTTAATTTTTTAAATTTTTTTTGTTCAAAATATATATATATATATATATATATATATATATATATATATGTTTGCGTGTGTGTCTGTGTGTGTCTGTGTGTATGTGTGTCCGTACATAGTCTGTGGTGTGGATTATGATTATGTCTCATTAAATATAAAGACGGTTTCTAACATCAAATTGGTCAGGTACATCAGTTACCCTGCAACGCTTCCGATCTATACCTATGCAGACTGAAAGGGCATATATATATATATATATATATATATATATATATATATATATATATATATATGTGTGTGTGTGTGTGTGTGTGTGTGTGTGTGTATGATTTTTATGGGAATATTTTTATGGGAACATAAAGAATGCTGGAAGAAATAAAAATGAAAACGAACATAGATAGATAGATAGATAGATACAACCAGAGTGAGATAAACAGATAGAGAGATATGACCAGAGATAGATAGATAGATAGATAGATAGATAGATAGATATGGACAGAATGACATTTTCATGTCGTTGTATAGACGTGTGATTAAACATATACGTCTGTGGGAGTATGTGTGTTTGTTCCACACCAAATCTGGCGAAATTAAAAAGAATTTTGGTATTTGTTGATTTCCACAATCTAATTCTCTGCTCGCTCACCCAAAAACCCTAACTGTGGTCAACAAACGGCAACCGTTTTCATTTCTGCCTTTTCATGAGTGACTAATGGCAGGGAGCTTACAATTGAGATCTGTAGGAACCCATTCCTTACTCCAAGACATCACGGGACCGTACCCGAAGTAGTCATAATCACGGCTTAGATAATGCCTTTTTTCGATTTTCAATACCCAGCGCTTATAGCTTTGGCTTTGAAATATAAAGAAAAGTAAAGTAAATTCTTGAACTATTCGAATGCAATATTGAAACGCTTTTTGTTTTTGATGGCGATTTTCATCCCAACTTTAGGTTCTTGTTGATCTTTAATTTGAATCGAGATCGACACTCTTTCAGAGTTATCCACTTCCCTAGCCGGGTATTGAACTCACACTCTTTGGGTCTTGTCGCTGGATCTAACTAACGCGTTTATCCTCTGTACCAATGTACCATGTGTCCTTCAGGTCTTTCAGAGGAGATAACTGATAACTGACATCCATTAAATATGGCACGTGGAACTAGAACAGTCTACCCTAGTGAGCGAAATAAAGGGTTCAGTTCGACATTCCAACCACCTGAAGAAGGTCGGAGCGTACAACGGCCGAACCGTTGTAATAAATATGGCGAAAAAGATGAGGACAATAGTCCGAATAATTTAATTAATGTGAACAATTTTTAATTGTTAATTTCGCCTCACCTGTTCTTGCGCACAACGCAGTATGAAAAATTTGATATTTGCCTACATTTAATATTTGCTGGCTTTCTATGTAGGTAATCATTACAGCAAATGAAGTTTTAAAAGATCAGAACACATTACCAAATGCAGACATAAAAAAACAAATTCCTTTTGTGCTACCTACAACCACATCATGATAAAAAAGACTAAATAAAACTCCATAACGTACAAAAGTATATATAGTATACAGTAATGAAAACCTAAACGTGCTTACAAAACATATTGTATTTATTATAGAACCATATCAATAATAAATATACCAATTCCTCAAATGTTCAAATTATTTACCCCAGTCATTCACGCAGTTCTCTTGACATGGAAAACATTTATTATTATTATTTATTACAAATTATGATAAATGTATTAAAATAAAAATATTAAAAATGATTTTAATGAATTAAATGGATTCTAGTATTAAATGAATCCTTGAACTTCTATTTTGATACTGGTAATAATACTATAATACTTAGTGTATACCTACTTTTGCAGCCCACCATATATAGAATGTCTGTCTGTCAATGTTTTAAAAACACACACTAGTTCTCTGAGTGTTCCAGTTTGTGAAGTTTGCCTGCCTTTCCAATCAGTATGAACGTTAGATTCAGTTGCAGTAGATAAATTCCTATCAATTTCATATTGACAAAGATGATAAGCATATTGACAAAAATGATAATTAGTTATTTTATTTTATTATACCGATTGCGCATTGGTCATCTGAAAAGCAAAAGACAATAACTAACAAAAGAAAAATAATAATGGAGATAATACTGATTTGTACAGATACAAGTTCTACTAATTAACCCATTTCCGGGGTGAGAAGAGGCGGATTCATACCCCCCCCCCCTTCCCAAGGGTTTTTGCACGTAAGTGAATATAACGAACCTGACTGGAATTCGAACTTGGCTGTTCGATTTCCAATTGCGAGCCGTTATCTATTACACCAGCCGCGCATCCAAACTTACACCACCTAGTCTTCCCAAACGTTCCCCCATCTAGGTACTGACCAGGCTCGACGTTGCTTATCTACGATGATCATATCAAAACTGGTGTTTCAACGCGATATAGACTCGTCTTTAGAGGAGTGGATATGTTGGTTACAAGTCAAAATCATATTAATTATTATAATTTCTAAAAGGACCTGTAAAAGAGAGAAGGCTTGCTGTCACTTGACCCTTAGCCTTGGTGACCAGTTTTAAAAGGCACACTCGTAATAAGCGCCGACGACCATCGATAATCAATATCGATAATATTAATCGTTCTTATTCTGATCCGATATCCATTAGACTACAACACACATTCATAATTCTTATTTCTAAAATCCCTTTAATAAAAAGCAAGAAGACGGCTTGTTGTCACTTGTCCCTTAGCCTTGGTGAAAATCGGAAAAAAATGTGTTGATTATTGATGACCACTGAAGACCAATATCGATAATATTAATGATTAATAAGATAATTATAAATCGTGGCCATTAGAGGCGACGTTTTCAACATCATCAATAACAAAACAATGATCAGAACACCTCGGTGTCGAGTAATGGTTAACGAGCTAGTCTGGTTGATAATTATTACTGAGTAGTGAGTCCAATCCTCATTCTACATGAAATGACCCCCTCCATCGCCCCCACCCCCTAAAAATGATTATCATTATTATTGTAAGGTCATCTTGAGGGAGACACACTGGATAGAGGAGTTAGTCAGGTTGACCCTTATTACTGATTGCTGATTTCGATCCTCACTAGGTGCCTCAACAATAATCGTTGCGTGAATGTTTATTTGAAGTTTTTCTTGTTAACATGAATCTTTAGGCCAGATATCATTTCAGTTGAAATTTACTGCATATGACAGACACCTGATGAAGGTCAGAGACTCGACTGGTTTAAATATTGTGAAAAAAATAATCAAGATGAGGACGTTATTTAGAATAATTGTGTAATAACTGCAAGAATAACATTATTATTTATACTTACCAAATCTATGCTAAAAGGTATTTGAAAGATCATGTTGCGCCATTTTCTATGAGAGAAAAACCTGTCTGTCTAGAAAATCAGTATTCGATATTCTGGATATTTTCAGGATTTGAACTCTGATCTCTGACAAAAAAGAATATATCATATGGAGGTATTGATAATTACTAATTTTAACTTAGTTTGACAGAAATCCATGCACCCGAAGCACCTTGTGCGGATCAAAGTCACTACAGTAGTAATAATATGCAAGACTAATTTGCTTTTCATTGTTTGAGAACGGAATGTCCATGATGCGATGATTATTAAACTAAATGCGAATCAGACATAATCATGAAATAATAGTGTCGCCCATTGCCATGGTAACGTCAAAGGCAGGAAGCTTTAGACGACCTTCGGAAAGATTCAAATGACTTTTGGGGAAGAACTTAGAAACGATAAAAAAAAATATTTCACTTCAACTAATGACGTCATCATAGTCAAGATATTTTTTCTTCATTTTCTTTTTTTGAATTTTAAAAGTTTTTTTTTCTTTTTTTTTTAGCGAAACTTGAAGCTCCCCAAAACCGAACTCTTTTCCCAATTTCCTTGCCTCTCACCCAACATAGTTTCTATCATTTGATTTTTTATTTTATTTTGTTAGTTTTAATATTTTAATTTATTTATTTTAGGAGGCGGCGTCGATAGAAAAAAAAATGGAAAAAAATAAAAAAGAAGTTGAATGCCGGGTTAGGGGAATTTTTCTCCTGTTTCTCCCGCCGTTTCGAGGAAAACAAAATGGCCGGCCCCGACCCGGATGTCAGTCGGCTTCGATAAACGGCGGATACGAATCGGAATGAGTTCAAAGGAAATCAAACCTTCTTCCGTTCCGTAAGTGGTTACCATAGCAACAGACATCCGGGCGAGGCGAACAGTGGAGGGGGGAAGAGGGGGAGGAGATTGTTTTTCTCTTTGTTAGATTTTTATTCTTTTTTATTGGAATATATATTTCTCCTCTTTTTTTTCTTTTCCCTCTCGTACTCTCTTTTTTTTCCTCATCCCCGCTTTTTATTCTCCTCCTTTTCCCCCCTTTTCTTCATTTGTCTTCTTTTTCCTCATCCTTTATTTTCTTTGCCGCTGTATCAGATTATTATTATTATTATTATTATTATTATTATTATTATTATTATTATTATTTCCGCTCTCTTTTTCCCTGCTAATTTATTTTCTTGTTTAGCTGTTTAATCTGCCTGCCCCTCTCTCTCTCTGTCTCTCTCTGTCTCTGTCTCTCTCTGTCTCTCTCTCTGTCTCTGTCTCTGTCTCTGTCTCTGTCTCTCTCTCTCTCTCTCTCTCTCTCTCTCTCTCTCTCTCTCTCTCTCTGAAGTTTTTCTTTCTTGTACAAAATCCGGTTTAAGTAAGCACAATTCTCTCTCTGGTTCAAAGTTGTCACTTTTTTCTTTATTTCCTCCTACTTCCCTCTCTTTCTCTCTCTCTCTCTTTCATTCTGTTTCTCTCTCTCTCTCTCTTTCATTCTCTTTCTCTCTCTCTCGTTTGCTCTCACGTTGATTTGCACATTAATTCATTTCAGCTTCATTTCTCTTTTCTCTCGCCTTTATGTTTTCATTCTTTTTTTTCTATCAACCTTATTCTGTCAACCAAACCTTTTCTATTAACTTTTCATTCATCTCTCTCGCTCTCTTCTTCTTCTTCTTCTTCTTCTTCTTCTTCTTCTTCTTCTTCTTCTTCTTCTTCTTCTTCCATTTCCTTTCTCACCCTCTTTCTTTTTATCGTCATATTTTTTACATTTCCTTTTAATGAAAAATTACTTTTTCAAATATATTTTTCTTCTCTCCTATTCCATGCCTACATTCTCGCTTGTTAGTTTGCAAGTACCCCAAAACTTTTCCCAAAAAATAAAATCGAAAATAATAATTGAAATGTTCCCTCTTTCTCTAATTTTCCTTTCCACTATCCCTCTCTCTCTTTCTCTCTCTCTCTCTCTCTCATTTTATAGAAAAGAGAATGCACAAGAGAATCAATTCTTCTTGCTGTTTTTTTCTTACCTATTCGACCATTTTTTTAACCTTTTTTTATTTATTTTTTATTTTATTTTATTTATTTATTTATTTTTTTGTATATTTTTCCCCTTTACCCAAAATCGTACTTCCTTCGCCAGTCTTTTCGCTTTGAATGTTACTTCTTAAAAGAACGTCCACTCGGATACACACACACACACACACACACACACACACATATGCATTCTTCCTCAAATGCACGCAATGATCAATGGAAGACTCTTTTCCTCACATCAATGAAACACAACCCCACGTGAACATTCATTCAAGCAAGCAGTCGTGCGTAAAAACAGACGTGCCGACACGCAGAGATGAAAGTCTGTGCCCCTCCCCCAACAGATGTGCACACCCTCACATTCACTGTTCTTTCTCTTAGGTATATATGCATAAATTATAGGCAAACACTGCGAACAACGATCCAGACAACGGTAGCTTGTTAGCCTTACCCCGTACAGCCTCGTTGCTTGAATTACGGACATGATGTGTTTTGAAAAATAAACAGAGAATCAGAGGAAATTGATGACGAAAAAATGTGTCATGGATAAGTTTGTAAAAATAAATAAAATTAAAAAAAAAAAAACTTGTGTAACGAAGCATTCCAGAAACCAGAATTGATGTGTTTTTGTTTTCTGGGGCTTACCAAGTCTTTGTAGGTTATTTAAAGTGGAAACCAATTTAAGGGAGTTCCTTGTCTATGTGAAGCGATTCCATATATTATCTAAAATAAAAACTCGTCAAAATTCAGGGGGGGAAAAGACATACCTAACAATAAGGTTATTATTTCTAAACTTGTACGAGTATCTTTGTTGTTCCAGTCACAGTGTTTGGCGCTAATCAAAAAAGTGCCTGCGTATATATATTCGTTTATTTAGTCTTGCCGGTGCGCATGCGTACATGTCAATATATAAATCTAAAGACGAACATCTGCGTATCTGGAACTTTTTGTTGGCAGCGGTAACCGGCGTTTGTTGCAATTCTTCCCACCCCGCCCCATTTCTGTCGAAGACTGGTTCTTCATTAAAATGGTTATTAGACTGATCGAAAAATTTCACGAAAAAGTTTTATCATCCTGCAACTCCACTATTACTATTAGTCATATATATATATATATATATATATATATATATATATATATATATATATATATATATATATATATCATAACTTATGAATAAATAAGTAAATAAATTAAGTAAATAAGCAAATTAACAAAGCATACCCACCAAAATAACCGTTAGAATAATAAAATAGACTATCCACAATGCAATAGATTACCCACAATGCATCACTGACCTGTGTACATAAAAAGTCGAGCAAAAACACAACTAACGTGGCCTGACGATTGCGTTTAGCATGAAACAGACTGTCGCCACTGGATGTTGACTTCAATGTTCACTTTTATATTTACATACACTCTATCCCTGATACTGAGCCCTTTTATCTACGAATATAGCATACCTTAAAACTATATCTTTTCATATATATATATATATATATATATATATATATATATATATATATATATATATATATATATATGTGTGTGTGTGTGTGTGTGTGTGTGTGTGTGTAGAAAATGGACATTGAAGTCACCAACCAGAGACTTCAATGTCCATTTTTATATTTACATATTCTCTATCTCTGATATTGAGCCCTTTTATCCATAAATATAGCCTACCTTAAAACTATATCTTTATCTTGTCACTTCTTTACAGAAGAAGACCATCTCTACACTTGGTAGCCTTTTCTCTGTTTTTCATTCAAAACTTTATTATTTGTATCATTCATACCTGTGTTAACGCTCTGCTATGGGCCTGTAAGTGATTCTTAAGGCCAGCTTCACTTTTACAATTTCTCATAGACGCATGGCAAACATAAAGTTTGTCTGTATTATCCATGTTGGAAATTTCCTGTCTCTGTATACAATCATGTTGAGTCCCGCAACAGACATATAAACCTTGTCATAAAGCTCACACAAGTAACTTGCAGATCTTTCTGGTAGGGTTACATTCACAAGAGCTTGCACCTGACCTCTCTGGTGTGATCTCATGTGACTACCTTAGCCAGCCGCCGAAAAGGAGTGACTTTTCCACAAATGCTACAAGTCTTTTGGTTCCCTAATCTCTCTCTCTCTCTCTCTTTCTCTCTCTCTCTCTTTCTCTTTCTCTCTCTCTCTCTGGGGACGGATTCTCTTTGTCTCTTCTTAATGGAGCGTTTTTTGTTGTTGTTGGAATGCTCATTTCTCTTCTGCCCTAAATTCTTGCGGCGTTTCCGAATAAACCTCCAGCCAGATCTCCAGCAACAGTTTCCAAGCCTTCAAGTTTACATATAAAATGAAATGATTAATTGTTAAATACGGTCAGTAGATCGTGTACGTTTTCGTAATGAATTTTATTAAGGGTTGGTTTTATAATCATAGAAAAAGCAATTTTGGCGAAAATACACGTAACCAACAAATATTCTGGACAATGTTTACAGTAATTAAGTCTAGGAAGGAAGATACTTGTGTGCATAAACGAAAAAAAAAATAAAAAAACGAAACATATATATATATATATATATATATATAATTTATTCGAAAATTATAACATAAATATGTTATAAAATCACTACAAAAATAGTCATTTTGTTTCAACACTTCTAGTGTCTTATCAAGTGATGGTGTTGAAAGTAGAATAAAGGGTTTTAAAAGATTCACATCAATCAAACACCCATCGCTAGGGGAAACGCTGTTACATAAGCTGGAATGACCAATCAAAATACTAGTATATGGGAATTCAAAAAACTTGACAATGAACTTTGGTTATAATAATTAATGCTTTAATGTTAGGGTTAGAATAAAATAGAATTAATTCTAACTAATTAATATTAAATTTTACAATAAAATTTGAAATTAAAAATTACCAATTTTAAATTGTAAATTTAATATGTATTAAGTTTAAAATATAAAATTATTTAAAGAAGAAACTGAGGAAAAATACATATCTTTTGCGATTTAGTTTGTTTTAATTGAAAGGCCAAAATCTCAGAATAAACGTTAATCTAATGGGGATATAAAGCCTCGTTACAACTGAGATTTATTTGAAGTGGTGACATGGGCAGGGGAGGATGAAATCTTGCAAAAGAAAATACATACACAATCAGATTATAATATACACACACGTATACATATTTAGATATATAAACACGCAAAAAAGATGAACAAAACTCATTCAAAACCATCATCTGTTGAAACAAAATGGATATTTTTATATTTTTGTTGTATATTTGGACAGCAGTTTCATGAATAATTATTTGGGACATAGCACTGCATGCCTATTAAGAAGACTCACGTTACAAGTTTCTGATCATAGCTCAATTAGGGTTAATTTAAATAGACAGTGCAACCTACCAAACTCCATCTGCAACAGACTTATAGAAAATACATGTATAATAGCCTCATTCACATCTAATATACCAGACTAAAAATAACGGGAGCACTAATAATAAAAAAGAAAACACTCAATAGCATCACCTATGAACACAGCCACATTGTACTGGCCCTGTTTGGAAAATAAAATAAACATTATAGAATCAAAATGTTCCTGTAACTCTAGATGCATACATAAAATAATCAATACATTCAATTAAAAATAAAAACGAAAAATAAAGGAATAGCCGAAAGCGCTTGGACGAGCGGAACATTTGAAGATTTTGTACACACTTTATGTCCAAAAAAGAAAACATTTGTTCGCACACAAGAAAAATTAGATATAAAACTTAATCGCAGTACCTTGTCAGTCAACTTTAAGGAAGCATTTATAAAAGAGGAACTGTTGTCCAAATACAAATTTATATATATATGGTGTGATGGGTAAACTGTCCCCGTTTTATAGTTTTAATTTCGTTATCAACCCAACTATACCTATGTTGGGTACGCGTGGGAAAAATTGTATAACAATTATAGATCTGTAAACACTGAGACCCGATAGAGAGAGAAAGGGACAAGAGGATGGGATCATCGATCTGGTGTAATGGTTAGCAACTTTGTGTCGTAGTGAGTTTGATCCTCATTGGGTACCCCATACTTTAGATCTTGTGCCACATCTAAGCGACGCTTAGAAAATTAGCATAGAGGATGTAGATTCCACGTTCGGAGAAGGTCCCAAATCCACACACCCACTGGCCGACGGTGATTGACGAAGTCTGAAGTTGAATAGAATGTACTATTACATATGAGAGATTTAGCTTCGAGAGGGAACAGAAGAGGACCTCGTACATCCTTGTGAGAATGTAGAGTTCACTTAAGTAGAAGAGCGCAAAGCTACATTCCCAGTGGCCAATGGTGATTGACGAAGTTGAATAAAATGTAGGAGAGACGAGATCACGCGTTCTGATTCATAATGTATGACGACAACTTTACAATTTGATCAGTATACACCCCCCCTAACGACAAAAGCATTGTTGTAAGCCTATCGCTACAGAATTGCTATTTCCATGGCAAATATCCATATATGCTCCATTCTTTAGTTCCACCAATTCAGACCTTTCCAACGAGGAGGCACAATACTAGTCCCTGTGACACTATTTATCGGTCGCGTGAAAATTAAAAGCGAGAAATAATTAAGGCGAGAAGAAGCTGAAATAATTAAGGCGACAAGAAGCGATCACGAAAAGACATACTGAGCAATGTTATTTTTTTTAACAAAGAAAAGTGGTAAAGATTTTATTTTCATTTGCGAAGAAAAGTATTTTTTTCGCAGAAGATAGGAAATTCGTAAGATCTCGGATGTGTCGAATTAATTTATGTTACGAGGCGGCGAATAAA